GGGTCCTCTGCTCAGGTGTCATCAGACTGAAGCCAAGGTCTTCACTGAGATCTCATCTGAAAGCTTGACTGGGGAAGAGTCTGTTTTCAAGCCCATGCAGGATGCTGGCAGAAATCAGGTTTTTGTGTAGGACTAAGTCCCTGCTTTCTTGCCGGCTGTTGGGCAAGGGTCACTCTCTGCTTCTTAGAAGGTGTCCTCACACCCTAGTGATGGCCCTCTTACAACAAAGCAAGCAGCAGCTTACTTTTTTATAGGCGGCAGGAGACTTTCACTCCAGGCTGCTGTGATGGTGTCTCATGTAATGTGATACAATCACGACCAGGACTATCCCATCACCTTTGCGAGATAGTGTAACCATGTTCAGGTAGTGACCATCCCACCGTATTCACAGATCCCACCTCCACTCAGGGGCAGTGGACTATATCAGGAGTATGAAGCAGGGGATGAAAATCTCGGTTGGACATCATAGAGTTCTCCCTGCTGCCACACCCAAAAAGTATATTAGCCTAAACCATGGCCAACCTACAAACTTGGGAAAGTGAGAATGAATGCTTATTATAGGCCACTGAGATTTGAGGTTATTTTTCTTACGCAGCATTGCTCTGGTGTTGGCTGTCTGATACACTTTAAGAGGCATTGTCTTCCTTGTTCACATAGTGTCCTAGCTCCCTGGTGGGGAGGAAGCTTTCTATGAAGGACCGGGCACTGGGACCAGTCAGGTCTGGGTTTGACTCTATTCATCCTAGTGGGGGGCCCTTGAGCTAGTTACTTCATGTTCTGGGTCCATGTCCTCATCGGTGTAGTGGGAACCACAATGCCTATCTCTCCTGGCTGTTGGAAAGATTAACTAAAATAATGGATGAGGACCACGTGGAATATAGTAGGCACCATACATGTTAGTGTCTTTTCTCTGTGATGTTCGTATTTCTAGTCAACATGCCCACGTCTTCAGAGAATGAATGTGGTATGAGTTCTGGGGGTGGCCCCTGCCAATTCTCATGGGTTTCCTGGCTGGTCACTCATTACCAGATGGGAGGGTGACCCGCAGGGTGGTCTGACCTTGGATGGGCTCCCTGCTTGAGCCACATTGTGGAAGGCAGCCCTGCTGGTTCTATAGGGCAGAGGCCGTGGGCATTCGCTTTCAGACAAGACCCCTGCTCCCACACTCCAGAACTTCAATTTTAAACTGTGACAGTGGTTGACCTGTTTACAGAGCACAGTCTCTCCCACTAACCAGCTGTCTGAGCCAGGGGAGGTAACTTTAACCTCTGACTGTACTTTGCAGGTAAGACTCCCACCCCACAGGGTCATTATGCTGATGATCTGACGAAAGGCATATCCCTGCCCCATGACAGGAGCTCCAAGGTGGTGTTTTCTCTCCTCAGAGTGGAGACTGCCCCGCCCTACCTCCTAGGCCCTTCCCAGAGGGGAGTGCTGGGCAGGTGCTAAGGATATTTTTGGTGCTAAGTTCACACCTTTAGTCTCATTTGATTCTCATGAGAGGCTCTGCATAGGTGGGTGTTGAGGCCCTAAAGGCTGTTCTCCCCAGTCCCACCTCCCAACCCCCAGGCACAGGATGGATGACACTTCCCTTCTCTTTTCAAGTTCAGTGTGACCCCATGACTTGCTTTGGCCAAGGAAGGGTGAGCAGAAGTGTCCCCAGTCACTTGGGAGAGAAGCTTCGGGGTCAGTGCTGACTCACCGCCTCTCCCTTTCCTTCTGATACCAGTGGCCAGCAATGCTTGAGATGGTGCCTGTTCTCTGTTGTCGGACAGTAATGAGTAGAGAATGTGAACGAGGAAAAATCAGCCTTTGGTGCTTTAAGCCACGGAGCTTTGGGGGAGCTGCTCACTGCACCCCAGCATGATGCACTGGACAGACTTTGCTTCCATTTGAAGGAGGAGGGGAGTGGCCTGCCTAACACAGGGGGTATTGGGATCACGGGTGGGGCTTTGCCTGAGGGGGCATGCTTGATTCTGTCCAGGGAGAGAGCAGAGGTGACGGGAGCCCTGACACCCTCTCCTTGGTGCCTCAGGGAAATGAGTCCCTGCGACAGCTGTTTACATCATCAGGAGTAGGAAAACAATTCTCTTTAGAATAAGTGACTGGAAGCTTAGGGAGTGGAGGGCTTGATTCTGTACTGTCAAAGGGATCAGATGTTCTAGACTCAACTCGGCAACAGATGGGGTTATACTCAGAAGCCCGGTCTGTCTGTCTGTGTGTCTCTCCTCACCTCCGAGGCTCCACTTATTTCCTCTCTCAGGAGTATCTCCCCTCCACTAGTAAGTCTTATTCAGAGAAAGGCTGTGAAACTCACCCACCATAAGGTGTGCATTCTGGCCTGATGCAGTGGACAGAATTTACTTCCTTTTGAAGGATGAGGGGAGTGGCCAGGAACAGACTGCTATGTTACACAGCATTGTTATGACAATAGCTGACTGATACACTTGTCTATCCAGTATCCATTCTTTTCTATCCCTTTTAAAAATATATATATTTTATTGATTTTTTTTGCCTCCCCCTCCCTCCCTCAAAACCCTCCCTCCCCAGAGTTTTATGTCCATTGGTTGTACACAAGATCTACTATCTCCCCTAGATCTTCCTCCCCTCCCCACTGTAATTTGACAGTCTGCCTGTTGCTTTATTGTCTCTATATCTGTCTCTTGGTTCATCAGTTTATAATGTTCTTTATCATCCACAAATGAGTGAGGTCATGTGGTGTTTCTTTTTTATTGAGTGGCTTATTTCACTCAGCATGATGTTCTCCAATTCCATCCAGGTTCTTTTCTATTCCTTTAAAGGTAAACTGATTTCATTCTGGGCAGTAGTGTGTGCCTGGGCAGAAGACTGTACACTGAGTGTATTATGATTTCTGAATGCATAATAATCTGGCCACTCAGTGTATATATATTAAAGGTCTGGTGCATGAATTCGTGCATGGGTGGGGTTCGGCCATCCTGGCCAGGGAGAGGGGACATGGGTGGTTGTCTGGTCTGCCTGCTGGTTGAACTCCTAGTTGAGGAGACAATTTGCATATTAGCCTTTTATTATTTAGAATATACACGGAGTGGCCAGATTAGTATGTGCTCAGAGATCATAATAATCTGGCCATTTAGTGTATTTCTCAGCTTTCCATGGGCTGTAAACAAAGGTTTTTGAGTGGGACTCCTAGCAAAGCTCCCTAAGAGGGGATTAGAGAGCTTGCCAGGGAGCCACCAAAGGTCAGGGAGCTTCTTGGTATCGTACACTCAGCATCCAGTATGTTGAGTTGCCTTCCCAGCAGTGGTGTCAGACATCTCTGCACCATCCAGGCACTCTCTGCACTGCTTCAAGACCAGCCTTTGGCTCAGTGTCTTGTCATGGTAACCTAGAAGATGCTTAGAGATCATCTAGCCTGCTTTTAAAAAAACACACAGAATTAGGGTCTGAGGCAGGAGAAGACTGTCTCAGGATCCATAGCAAGTCCTATGCAGAGCTACGAGAAGAACTTGATTAGTTCTTCACGCTCCCTCATACCTTCCTTCCTGATTGAGAGGTGACTACCTGGTTGGGATGAGGGAAGGGGTAACAGACTTGGGGGGAATGTGGCTGGAAGCCCTGCTTCTGACAGCAGCTGCCTGGAACTCATAGGGGCTGGAACAGAGCTCACCATACTGCAGGGACTCTGTCGGGAGGCAGATGCTGGTGCAGCCCTCAATTGGTCTCAGACTCTGGGTCCTGCCCTGGAGAACTAGGCTGGGTTGAACAGACCAGGTCCACAGGAATACCTCATGAACCCTTCTTGTACAATTTCCCCAACCACTGCTCTACCACGTCCCTTCCTGTTCCGCTCATCCAGGTAAACCAGCATCCTGGAAGGACCTGGGGACCCTGGTTTAGAGCCAGGGGAGCATGGATGAGTAGACACGGCTGATCCTGGACCAGATGCTCTTTACTGAGCCACAAAACCTGTCCTCTAACTGGTCCGAATGTTGTTGCTAAGGGCTCAGTGCCTCACCTTTCTCTGGAGAACTGGCCTCAGCCATTAGGAGCCTCTGTACCAGAGATGCTGAGGTGCCTAATTAAGTCCTTTACCCACCCACCCACATCCCCAGGGACAGCCAACTGCCAATGAATGACTGATACTGGGGAACAAAACGCCAGTCGCTGTCTCATGGTCAGACTAACTCTGTGCTACAGCTCACGCCCAGAGCTCCCTGCAGTATTAGCATGAAGCAAGACAGTTAAACCTCCCTGTTTGCTCATTCCCTCCCCTGCCCTCTTTTTCATCCTTCACTTCCTTATGGATTTCTCTTGAGGGCTCTCCCTCCGTAAGTCACCTGCCCAGGAACCCTCACATCAGCCTCCGCTTCTGAGCTCTCACCCCCACATTGTGTGCTAGGAGACACCAAGAAGGTTCTAAGCTTAGCAGCAGGAGGAGTTTGTCATGGTGAAGAGAACTGAGGCATTTTCCCCGAGAGGTGCTTAGCAAAAGGATCCATTGACTAGGTATCCACTGTGTATGCAGCAGCTGCTTGACATTGGAGGGCCCAGTGGGGTGTGAAAGTAATGTAGCTCCTAGCCTGACCCTCTAAATTAGGTCAAAGCACTTGGGTCTCTTTTAGGGCAGTCACATAACAGCGACCAAGTGAGTACAAGGAACCTTGCAAATGCTTTTAATTTCTTTTAATGTATAACAGTTACGCCTGAGTTACAGAGGAAGCGCTTACAAGCAGGTAGTTAAAGCAAATGCCAGTTTCTCTTTCTAGTCTACTACTCCATATAGCTGAATAAATTATGGTGCGATTATATTTAAGCACACACCCTCGCGTCCACACGCACACCCCACTCACACTCCCATGCACACGAGCTCACTTCCACATGGAGGAAAATGGCTGAGTCAAACATGGATGCAACCAAGTTGCGGTTACTAGGAAGGAGGAACGGTCAGAGCGCCATGGAGATGGCTCCCAAGTAGGGGCGTGGCCACCTTAGCATTGGCAGGGAATGCATTCAATGCATCATCTCTGAGCATTTCTCGATGAGCATTTCTCATTTGGTCTTGGTTTGGTGCCTCTGCAGGAGGGGAGGAGAGAAGACCCGCCAACCTCAAAAGGCATCCACCAGTGAAGGGTGCATTTGGGAGTCTGAGGGGAATATCCATCTGAGAGAGGCCCCACAGGAAGTCTCTTTGGGGCAATCATGGAGTTTCGCCAAGTTCCGCCGTCCAAAGCATAGAACGCTCCATCAGCTCCATGGACCACATTGTACTTGAGAGGAGAGGCCGAAGTGTGGGACCTTCCTGTTCTCAAGTCACCGCCAGACTGGAAATCTGATCTGGGTTTTCTTCTGGGCAAACCTCTCTTCATTCTTCTCTTCTCTCTCACCCCCCGCCCCCCGCCCCCTCCTCCATGTCCCTCTGGCAAAAGAATGGCAAAGGTAAATCAAATAAAATATACGGGTATAAAAGCAGAGCTTGGTTCTTACACATTGGCTTTTTTTTTTCTTTCTTTTTCTTCATAGCAAGAGAGAAATTCCGAACAGGAAAAACAAAGCAATAAAAATGAAAGAACCCAAGAGAGCCTGGAATGTATACTTTGAAACACACGATATGCAGATATATCCCTACAGATGGTCCTTGGCACTAGCACGACACACACTGTGGGGATTTCTTTCCCGGTGGAGTATATATATTTATAGATATAAAAGTCAACTTCCTATAAACGAACAGCACATCACCACATTTCCAACTAATGTACACTTGAGCTCAGGAGAGAGGCCGCCCGTAGGCAGGACCAACAGCGACTTGTGAGAAGCTGGAGGGAGCATCTCTGATTTTGCTAGACGGACAATTCGCAGGGATGGATGGGGGTTGCTCCTGGGCTGGCCTAGCTGCTGGGATTCAGGTTGTGGTCAACCCTCACCAGTTTGAGGCCTTGTCCCTCTCATCCCGCACCACCTCTCTGGTGAAGTTATGAGCTGCCAACCCAAGACTGAATTTTATACACCGAGTTGGCTGAGCAAAGTCATGAGTGAGGTTTTAGGGAAAATCTGTCTGGGCCAAGGTCTCTTTCTGAGGGGAGTGGGCACCTGGGGGAATAAGTCCCATTTTTTATGCCAAGATGGTGGCTTGGGAGAACTAAAGGGAAATCGTTAACGAGAAATCATTTGGTTTATTCCCATTTCATCACAGGGGGCAGGATTGGTCCCAGCATTGGAATGTCACCTTCTGGGGGTGGGGCTAAGCAGTTTTGGGGTCACCTGCCTGGCATCACTGCGCCTGGGTGACAAAGGGCATAAAGAGGCTCAGGTAATTCCTGAGCCAGGTCTGTAGGAGGAAGCATGGACCATTCAAGGAATGTGGATGAAGATCATGGTCAAAGAAAGAGCTGTTTCCCGGCTGGGAGAGCTACAGAAGCATGGACCAGGTCACCAAGAAACAGCAGAATCCTTTTATCCAGAGCTTAACAAGCCCAAAGTCTCCTACAGCGGATGCTCCAGTTGAAACCTGGGCTGAACTTGATGGGCCACACGAGTCTGGATGTCCGCTGTTACTGAAGAGTCTGTTTGGCCCTAGCTACTAGTAGGTTCCTCCAAACCCAAGACACGAGCCACCCTGGCCTGGTCCAGGACAGGCGTCATATTACAGTGTCTGAAGCTGAGAAACAGGTGAGCATCTTTCATGGAGATGAAGTGTCCCAGCTCCCCCGAGGGAGGAACTCAGCTCAACTCCCAGCTCAGTAGCCCATCTCTTTCGGAATGTCTTGTGGGCTGAGGGCAAGACATGGGTTGAGCCAAGAGGTGGCCTCGTGTGCCCCAAGGGGCACAAGCAATTTGGTCCCGTCTTTGTGGATTCAGCGCTGTGCCTCCCGTCCTGTCACAGAGCCTTTTACCCAGCAGCACCTGAGAAAGGTGATCCAAGCGTAGATTACGATGGTGCTGATGGCGAAGATGAATATACATTTGATAAATAAGTGAAGGTGGTGAAAGTTCCAAGGGAGGTGTAGTCGGGAACTTAACCCATTCTCCCAGGTCTCAACTCTAAAGAGAAGGAGCAGGAGGAAGCCACGCGTGGCCGAGGAAGGCGTCCCCCTCTGCCCAGGGGGTGGCGGTTTGAAGACTGGCCACATCTGTCCCTGCACAGCTGTGCTGGACCAGGAGATAGAGGCCTCTTGGCCGAGAGTGACTCCTCACAGAAAGATGCCACTCTGGGTGGGACAGGGTCATGTCCACTCCCCCCACCCAAATGCCGTGGGGAGTCGGTGGCCTTGTCTGTGAGGCAAGCAGTCCCTGTGAGTCCAAGAACCCTGCTCCAGAGCCGCAGGGGAGCCCCCTGCCCCCCGCAGCCTAGAGGGACTCGCCGGGGATGGAGGCCCCACCCAGAAGGTGAGCATGCAGGACGGGCCCGGGTCTGCGGAGGCTTCGTGGGAAATCAAAGCTACATGGCGCCAAGGCCTTTGGCAGCAAATGTTTGCTGCCCAGAAGCAGAGGCACCCCAGTTACCAACCCCCTTCTGAGCCTGGCCTATGCTTCCTGCTCAAAGGTCCTCAGGACTTTATTCCCCCCTGCCCTGCCCCATCTGGTCCAGTGAATGGGAAAACTGAGGTTATGTGGCTTCCCAGGCCCCACGGGGGGTGGGCACAGAGAGAACTTGGGCTTCAGTATAAGAGCCGGCTGCTCTGGCTGCCTCCCTGGGTCCTTGTATCTTGGGCTGGTCCCTGCTGGCCCGTCCCCACATGGCCACACCCCTGGTGAAGTCTCTTCCTGGTTTTCCCAATCTCCCTGCTTGGGCTAGATTCCCCCTTACATACCCGATCGAGGTGTGTGGGGAGGGACCTGAAGTCCTCAGACTTCCTGGGCAAGGCCCCTGGGAAAGCCCAGGGCTGGACTCCCGCTCTGCTGGAGTCCCGTCATCCGGAGGAGGGCTGGGCTGGGGTTCTGACCCTGGGCCAGAGCCCCACCTGGAGGGACCTGCTCCCAGCACTTCCAGCTGAGAGAGGCCTGTGAGCTCCTCCGCTCTGACCGGGACACCCACAGGACCTCACCCCAGACCCCACCCTCCTCTGGGTGCTTATGGTGCTCTCTGCGGGGGAGCTTCCACCTCGGTGCTTCAGATGGCACAGAGGCCGCGGCAGGATTCGACGGGAAAAGGTTGTGGGCTGACCAGGAACCTCCTGGGGACAAAGCAAAGGGGCAGACTCCAGGGTGGGGTCACCCTAGGCCTCCACCACAGGGGCCCGCGAGGCTGGCCACACGCCTCCAGCAGGCTGGCCGTCACCGGGAATGGGCTCCATTCCTGGCCTCCGGGGACCCCAGGCGAGGAGGGGACTGAGGCCAGGAGGTTCAGGGTCAGGAAGGGGAAAGCTGGGCCTGGGGTTGGGGCAAGACGCCCTGGGGGCCCTAGTAGGCCTGGCCGGTCTCTACGGGCAGGAGTCCCAGCACAGCCGAGTGCTCCCCGAGCTTCATGCGGCGCTGAGTGGAGAGGCTCACGTTTTTGGCCAGGTAATCAACGGCAGCTGGAAGAAAGAAAAGAAACCCCTAGAAATTAATTTCCCCCTATTCTTTTATCTGTCCTATATCAATCCATCAAGCCATCCACCCACATATATATCCATCCATTCATTTATCCATATATCAGTTTATCCATCCAACCATGCAGCCAGCCATCCAGCCATTACCCATCCATCCATCTCTTCATAAAGCTCTTTCTCCAACCTCCGCTCCAATCACTCAGCAAATATTTACTTAACCCTGAATAAAAAGCACAGCTCTTCCGTGGGCTCTGTAGGGAGACCCAGAGGATATGCACATTGCTGAGTGAAGAACCGGTCCCTCTTTCTGGTCGTATCCCGTCTAGGGGGGGGTGTCCAGTGAGTGTCATGGAGCCAGGTAGTAAGGAGCCCAGCTCACGGATGAGGCAAATCAAGGCCACTTAAAACTCAAAGCAGTTTTTGCGGGTGAGCTGAGGGGTCCAGGCAGGGGAGGGACCAGGGACCTGACATGCAGGAAGCCAAGACCTTCAGTCTTATCACTTCTGGTCATGCAGGGGAGAGGGGGAAGAATTTGAGGGTGTATACGTGTGTGTGTGTGTGTGTGTGTGTGTGTGTGTGTGTGTGTACACAGTGGAAATAAGAAACCTGGTGAGGTAGCAATGGGCATGAACATGAATGTCTACACATGAGTAGTACTTGCGTAGGTGCATACACATGCACACAGATGTGGGTGAGTTATGTGCACCTGCATGAGAAGAACAACAGTGGGGATGCTTATGTACAGGGGAGTTCCACCTGGTCCAGGGACATGTGTCAGAGTATGTGTGTGCATAGGTCTAGCCCTCTGAGTGGCTGGACTCTGTGCCCCTCGGCTTCCCGGCTCCAGGGCCGGCACTGAGCTGGGTTGCCCTGAGGTCACTCAGTCTTCACGCTCCCAGCTGGCCGACAAGAGGTGCTGGTGCCGCCTGTCCTGCCTGGGTCTGCCCCTTGCTCTGAGCGGGCCTGGGACCATCTCCCATCTCTGGCCCCTGTATCTCTGGCCATACCATCTCTGCTGCTCAGAGCCCTCTTATCTGGGCTCCCAGTGCGCCCTATGAGGAGGTCTAACTTGGAGCACGATGGGAACAGGAGGAAGAGGAGCTGACATTTACCAAGAGCTTGCTCCTGCTCTAAGCAGCCTATGGAGCATCATCATCCCCATGTTACCGAGGAAACTGAGGCCCTTCCCTGAAAGACCACATCGCTCAAACGTTGTGGAGTCAGGATTCAAACCCAGGCTGTCTACTGCAAGCTCCTAACTACCCTCCCCACCATCTCCCCCTCCCCTCCCGCCCCAAAATCTCCCAGCGCCTCCTATAGAACAGCCAAGTCTGTGCACAGCAGTGGAGAGTGTATGAGGCACCCCAGATCCTGCATGGGCCCCACTTTCCACTCCAGGAAATGTAAGGGACTATTCCAAGGGCGTGAGGCCAAGTCAGGTGACGTTTCCTGAGTCACCAAAGGCTCCGCCTCCGCCTCTGATTCCACATCTCGCTGACCTCTGATGCCAGCCTCACTGGTTCTTCCGGAGGACGGGGTGGGAAGTTCTGGCTTTGACAACAGGGATGAGAACAACAGAGTCAGAGCCCTCACATGTGAGCACTTACTATGTGCTAGGCGGACATGATCTCGCTGAATTCATGAGCTCCCTGCTTTAGGTGCAGCTGTCCCCGTTTTACAGAGGTGGAAACTGAGGCACAGAAAGATGGCTGGCCCAGAATCATCCACAGCACGGGAGACGGCAGAGCCTGAATCTGTCCTGTTTGCACCTCTGGTCTCTGTTACTTCCTCGTTAGCTTCTCCCATGGTCTAGCTAGCACATAGTAGGAGCTTTCCTAAGGCCCTGACAAGGTGAGCAAGGGAACATGAAGAAAGCCAAACTTTACTGATGACCCAGCCAACTTCAAGGGCACCCGTAACACCGCACAGCCTGCCTCTCCCTGAGGTCCGGCCTGGGCCCGTGAGGGCAGGGCTGTAACATTTTTCATTACGGCTTCTGTCAGCGGCTCTCTCTGTCCCTCTGTCTCTCCATGTCTCCCCTTCTCTGCCTGGTACCCACGCTTGGGCTCTAAATGTCTCAAATCAGATTAATCGGGAGTTGGCAGGAGACGTGGCGGTGATGCCAACCCGTAAACAAATCTCAGCCATCAGCGTCTTGTCAGCCCGCGGCCCCAGAGGAGGACCCTTCCAGACACAAATTCTTATTAGACTTGTCAGATCTATTAAAATTCTCTCCACACTTCTGCGTTCTATCAGCCCCATCATTAGTCCGGCCCTGGCCTCTGGGAACACCGGGGCCGTATTAATCTGCCGTGTGCCCTGTCCCTGGCCCCTGCCCCCCTACCCAACCCCCTCTAGGGACAGGAGGGAAAGACAGATGGACATACAGCAGCCAGGGACAGGGAAGGAAGGTGTGGGGCGGCACAAGGCCCAGGAAGAGGAGGGTACTCTGCTGTTTAAGAGCGTGGCCAGCCGAAACCGGTTTGGCTCAGTGGATAGAGCATTGGTTTTCGGACTGAAGGGTCCCAGGTTCGATTCAGGTCAAGGGCATGTACCTTGGTTGAGGGCACATCCCCAGTAGGGGGTGTGCAGGAGGCAGCTGATCGATGTTTCTCTCTCATCGATGTTTCTAACTCTCTATCACTCTCTCTTCCTCTTTGTAAAAAATCAATAAAATATATTTTTAAAAAAGAGTGTGGCCATGCACATACATCATGCACACCGGAAGTCGAGGCTCTCCAGGGCGGGGCTATGGCGGGGTTGTGTACACACGGATTCGCGCTATGTGATCTCCTTAGGATCCCAGTGCTTGCTGTGTCCCATGGGAATAACCACGCACACTACACAGGGTGGCCATGAAGAGGAAATGCCAGATCCATAGTAGATGCTCAATAAATGGTCATTTCTCCTTCACACACACACATTGTTGTATGAATCCCTCGAAGCCACGTATACACACATATTAGTGAAAACTCCTATGGACCTGAACCTGTGTGTGTGTGTGCCTCTGAGCGTGTGTAGGTGGGTGCGAAGTCATGAACGTCAGTCCACACACAGGTGGGTCTGGGTATAAGCCATTAGGTGTCTTAGAGTGGATTGGATTTGGCCAAAGAGAACTGGGTTTGAAGTCAGGGACCCGGAGTCCCCCGCTCACTTACTGTGTGACCTGGGGAAAGTTCCCGGCCTCTCTGAGCCTCAGCTGTGTGTCTGTGACCGGACGAATGGCATCTGCCTTGGGTGGGATGAGGCCCATGCCTTTCACCCAGTGCCTGGTTGACTGAGACTCAGGCACGTGATAGAGGTGAACAGATGACAGGTTGGACCCGGGAACACACGGGCAGTCTGGGACATGCAACTTCCGACTGTGGAGTGTAGGAGCTCGGTCAAAGGTGGATTTGGTTGCCCATGAACATGGGGCAGGTGGTCAGTGAGGACACAGTATAACCCTAAGGGGTCCCAGGATGTCAGAGGAGAGGGAGATACTACCAGGGACAAACTTTGAAAAGACTGAGTCTAATCCCCAGGCCCCCATTTCACAGATGGCAAAACTGAGGCTCAGAGAAGCAGGGTGCCTTGCCCACGCGAATGGTGCAAGAGGGGCAGACTTTCCCGCAGGCCCCTCCCAGCCCAACCTGGAGCCTCTGTGGGGTGGGGGGTCTTGTGCTCCGATTCCCTCCCAGTTGGGCTGGAGAATGCGACTCAGGAGGAGCTCTGAGCTATCCCTGGAGGAGCCAGGGAGTAGGGGTGGAGCTAGAGGGGCCTGGGAGGACAAGAGAGTGAGGGGGAAGGAAAGAGGGAGGAGGGGGAAAAAGAAATTGCTCCAGCCGGTTTCCAGGAGCAGAGGGAACAAACACTCCTTTCTCGCCTCCTGGGCCCTTTCCCTTTTGATCCCCCCTCCCTTGTCATCCCCTCCCGGTGCTGACTCTGGGGTTAATTTTATTTCCGCGTTGGGCAGGCGCCCCCGGAGTCAGGCACGGGGCTCTGGGTGTGACTAACGCCTGCCCCAGGCCGGGCTCTAAACTCTTTATCAAGAGCATGTGTCCTGCTCGGCTCCCTGGGCACAGGGGCTGGGGCAGGGGTCGCCCTTGGTTCTTCTGGAAACATCCCCATGCACATGTGTGCACGCTGCTCTCAAACATACATACACACACACACACACACACACACACACGCTCCTCATGCACACAGTCTCACACAGACACAGTGATACACACAGACAACATCATGTGTACAAGCCTGGATGCACAACTACACACAGGAGCACACAGAATTCCTATGCAGACACTCAAGTACACATGTGCCCATGTTTATACCCTGCACACTTCATCTACATGTCCCATAAATACTCCAATACACACACACTTGAGCATGTGTCTACATGTGTGCTTATAGTTACACATAGTTGCTCACTCACACACACCTGCACACATATTTATACATGTCCACACAATAACATATGCACACATAGCCACAGCCACATGGACACACCTGAATGCACACTTAAACACATGGATATGTGTTACAGCCATGTGTGTTTACATGTCCAAACACTGTGCGCGTGTGCATTTGCATAAAAACACATACCATGCACTCACAGTATGCTCATTTAAACACACACATATGTTAATAGTCATGTGCACATATACCCACATGTGCCACTTACATTCACACACACAGACACATACACATACTCACCTATGCACAAAGATGTGTGCACCAACACTCTTATGCTAGGATACTCACAAATACACACACAGACACACACACCTGAGTTGTAACACATCCAAAACATGTATTCACACTCATGCACATACTGGTGTGGACATATATCTTATCCAATCATGCACATCCAGTGGGGGCTGTGCACACAGCTGGGAGGTAGAGGCAGCACAGCTGGCCCTCATTTAGCCGTGGAGGCCAAGGCCATATGAGGAGCAGAGGGTTGGTGTGGGGACAGGAAGCAGAGGTCAGTGAGGCCAGGCCAGGGCTGTGGCAGGCCGGGGGGGGGGGGGGGGGTGTGAGGATGCCCTTGGGCTGGGAGGTCTCACCCTCTCGCCACTTGCCCTTCTGATTAGTTTGACACCAGCAGGTGAGGCCTCTGCCGGGAGGTGGGGCAGGAGGGGCAGCCGGTGACCTCGGCTCCGGCGCCCCCTGGGCCTGCCCTGCTGCTGCCTTGTCCGGAGGGTGGAGGCTGTGGCTGGGCCCGCCTCCTGCAGCTTCTGGTCTGAGGATCTGCCATCTCCCACCCCAGGCAAGGTGCCAAGGGGATGGCGACTGGGCTGGGCATGTGAGGCCAGCTCAGCGTTAGGGGAAACCGAGGCTGAGGATGGGGGTGGAGGAGAGAGCTCACAGGACAGCTGTCCCTGTGGCCAGTGGGCAAAAGGAGCAGATCCCACACCAGCTCACTGTTCCACCGCAGTCACCAGCCACGCAGAGCCCCTGAAACGTGGCCAGCGCAGCCGAGGAACCAGAGTTTACATTTTGATTTAATTTTACCTAATTGAAATTTAAAAACCGGAATTCAATTTAGTTTAGCGGCCGGGAAACTTTGCAGTAGATTTGGAACAACTTGGGTGTGTCAGCCTACAACTTCCTCCGTTGTCAGCGCTGTGAAATTTCAATGCAGGCCCAGCACGCCTTGTGAAGCTTCGTGTCTGAATGAACACGGGCTGGATCTCAAAGACACGGTATGGAGAAAAGGATGTAAACCAGCTCATTCATCATTTTGTATGGATTACATGTTGCAATGATCATCTTCTGGATGGAATGGGCAAAATAAAAATACGTTAGCAAAATCATGTGCTGCTCTCACATTTTACCATGTGGCTCCTTGGACATTTTAAATGACACCTGTGGCCTGTATGACACTATTTCTGTTGGGACAGCTTTTCTCCAAGGCAGCAGCAATAGCAGGGACCCAGCTCAGCTGTTCTTCCTTTCTGGACCTCAATTTCCTCATCTGTGAAATGGACACCTGCACCCCAATACCACCTTCTAGCTCTCTACACATTAGCAGGGGGCAGGGATTGGGGAGTGGGGGGATGCCGGGTGCAGGGCACTCACTCTGGCCATACTGGCCGTACTGGTAGCCAGCCACGGGGTCCACGCTGTAGCCGGTGGTGCTGTAGGTGGGCGGGCAGTAGGACTGGGAGGTGGGCAGGCTGTCCCCTGCCTTGATGGAGTCCGCCCGCTGGCTGCAGCTGGCAGAGATGGAGGAGGCGGAGTCCAGGCCGCCGTGCAGCGGGGAGATGGAGAAGTCGGCCTGTGGCTGCGGTGGCACTGCGCTGGGGTTGTTCAGGATGCTCATCACCTGTGGGGAGAGACCATCGTGGGGCTGAGCGGCAGGGGCGGGGCTGGGAGGACCCCGCAGAGGTGAGCGAGTGCGGGGGGGGGGGGGGGGTCATGCCAGGCTGGCCATGGGCAGGCCTCCGCTGCAGTCTCACCCTCGGGGGTCCCTGCAGTTGGGAGATCCGTTGACCTGCGGGCTTGTCCTTGTGGGTAAGATGGTTAGCGGTTAGGTCCCGACCCACGGAGGCTCCTCCATTGAGAGCTCTGGGGATGAGGCGGGGCCTGTTCACGGCTTTAGCTCAGGCCTGACTAAGTGAATGCACAGTGCATGCATGAATGAATGAATAAATGAATGAATGAACATGCTAATTATGTCTCTCCTGTCAGACTGGAGCTCCCTTACCACAGGGACCTGTGCCTCCCCCATCTGACTGGGATGCTCCCATCTTCCAACACAAAGGGGTTTTAGCAGGTCTGTGAGAGGGGTTTCTGGGCCTATCCAGCTTCAACCCTCATCCTGTGCCATGCTCTTGACTTTGGTCAGGACCTGGTGGTCTTTAGGAATGTATTCCACCGTAGCCCACCCAGAATCTCTCTTTAATTCTGGCAGCTCTGGGGTATCTGTGGCTATTATCCACTTCCTCGGGAGCCGGTTCAGCAAACAGATTCTGCCAACTCGGACGGTCAGGGACAGGCTCCTTCCTAGAAACTCCGCTTCAAGCCATGGTGTTAACGCATTGGTGTGCTCACTTATTCATTCAACAAATATACACGAGGTGACTATGACACCAGAACTGAGGCTGAGCCTGGGACCTCAGAGGAGGAGGAGCCATGGCTAAGGCCCTCAGCTGGGACAGTGTATGGGTCTAGGGGAGGGGGCACCTAGAAACAGATCATCAAGCTGTGGAGTGATGAGGGTTGTTACAGAGGCAGCACGGGGCTGTGAGAGCCCAGGGGAGGGCACCCAGCTGGCCAGGTGGCCCAGGAAAGCTTCTGGAGGAGGTGACACCTGTGGCCAGGTGTCCAGGAGAGTGGGGAGAGGTGGTGCAGGCAGCAGGATTCCTGTAGGCGGGAGAGACCCCAGCTCCCTAGTCAGCCAGGGGAGGCGGCAGAGAGGCAGACCTTTGTGGATCTGACCTCAGGGCTAGGACCTGGTAGCCTCCTGCTAATGCCACCCCTTATGGGAGGGAGGCCACAGTGCCAGGTGGGATCAGGCTTGTTGATGGTCTGCCCAACACCAAGCTAAAGAACCATGCTGCCATCCACACTGGGCACGTGGCCATGTTCTCTGATTTCCCCACCCAGGAGATGGTGGGATCTGGGCATCCAAGCAATGACCTGAAAATATCTGCCTTCTCACTTTTAAAAAATCTATTTTATTGATTTCTTACAGAGAGGAAGTGAGAGAGAGAGTTAGAAATATCAATGAGGGAGAAACATCGACCAGCTGCCTCTTGCACACCTCCTACTGGGGATGTGCCTGCAACCAAGGTACATGCCCTTGACCGGAATCGAACCTGAAACCGCTCAGTCTGCAGGCTGACACTCTATCCACTGAGCCAAACTGGTCAGGGCTGCCTTCTCACTTTTGACTTGTCCCTGCCATAGGCGCCTGGGCCTGGCCAGGATCTGAGCCCTCAGGCCAGGGCCAGGCACGGAGCTCCTGCACTTCCTAGCTGTGCAGCCTCTGTGTGTCCCTTACCTTCTGGGACCAGTTCATCCTGAGGAAAAGGGCTGACGATGAAACTGACTCAGAGGCGCTGGAGGCTGAGCTGAGCCCAGCCTGGGGAGCTTTGCACACAGCCTGGCGCAGCACAGGTGCTGAGGAGTCAGGGGCTCCAGCTCCTCGATCCTCTTCTCACCTCCTCCATGTCCCTCCTCTCAGCCAACAACTTATGGGATTCCCCTGATCCAGAGGCCTACAGAGACGTGTGGGACAGAGCTATGGCGCCCATTTCTCAGATGACAAAACTGAGGCCCACGAGGGGCTGATAATGCCGAGACTGCCTCTCAAAGGTGTTTCAGGTCCCTGACCCCTTTAGTGGTTCTTACTCCGGGGACCAGCCAGTGTTTCCTGGGCCACTACCAGTGGGGGTGGGGGTCCCTCATCCCTGACTCTTCCCTCAATGCTCCCAACACCCCTCCCTCAGCCCTGGGGGCATCTCTCCTCTGTCCTTTACCTCCCTCCACCCCTTCCCGGAGCCAGAGGCCAGGGCATGGGCCTGCTGGGGCTGGTCCGTCTCCATCGCAGCTGGTGGGACGTAGGTGGGTCTTAATGGTGTGTCACCCACCGAGATGGCAAAGACACATGGATCTGTGAGAGGGGAAGTCTGGGAGGGAGGAGTCGGGGTGACTTTGTGCAGCGGCACTGTTTTAGGGAGCGGAGGTCTCCCCGATTCTCTCTGCACTGAAGGTGCTTCTAAGGCCTCTGTCATGGGGTCGGGGGTACACAGGGTGCTGGTGGTGGCTAGAGGGATTCTGGAAAAGGGGATCTCCGTAGTGAGGTGGTGTGAGGACGTCTGACCCCGTCGGGCTGTGCTTGCTGCCTTCTGACTAAGCTGGGGCCTCCTGGACCTGAGCTATTTGTGTGAATGGGGGCAGGGGGATTTCTGGGAAAACTCAGGAACCTCATGAAGCCCTGGAAGTTAGGAGATCCCATTCTCTTCCAGGTTCCCGTCTAAACCCACTTTCCAGCTAAATTAAGAAAATCACCACCATCCTATTTCCCACCCCATCAAACACTACCCCTGCCCCTCCCTCAGAGGCGGCCTGGGCCCCAGAACAGACTCAGGCTCAGGGGAAGCACACGCCCATTGCCCCACCCACCTCCATTCTCAGAAGCGGGAGCCTCTCGGGAGGCTGTGTCAGCTCAGGTGAGCTAATCCCTTCCTCCTGAATATCACTACGGCAGGGAAGAGACATGCGATGGGGGAGTAGAGGGAGGATGAGGGTGTTCTGGGGACGAGATATAGAAACGGTATACAGACACACTCACACTGCAAGACAGGGACCTCCCAGGAGCCGCCTCAAAGCTGACCACGTCACTCCTATCACTCAGGCATCGTCGGTGGCTTCTCAGTGCTTCCAGGTAAGCGAGGCAAAGGTTTCCTGGGATCTGGCCGCTCCCTGCCTGTCCCAGCTCCTCCCTGCCCTTTCCACCTTGCACTTGAGACCCCAGCCACCCCACGTGGCGGTGTTTCCTACAGACATCCTTTACTCCTTCCAAAGGAACTTCACAGCGGGCTGCCGCCTGCCGGGCCCGAGACTGGACCAGACTGTGCCTCCCCGAGGACAGAGGGAAGCCGCATTTCGTCCTTGTTTGCGGACCCAGTGCCTACATTGTGTCCGTCACATAGGATGAGCTCAGAAGAAGCCTGTGGAATGCATGCAGTTCACATCACACATGCTTAGTGAGCACCTACTATGTGCTAGGCCAAGATGCAGCAGTGAGATTTACAACTCCGTGTCTCCTAGAGTTGCCGGTTTAGCGAAGAGGCTGACAACGAACAAGTCAGTCATATAATTCGCAATACTGATAAGTGTTATGGAGGAAAATGGAGGAGGGAGCATTTAGGCAATATGGCCCCCAAAAAGGTGCTATCGAGGCCAAAAAGAACTGGCATGAGAAGACGTAGAAGGCAGCTTTCCAGGCAGTGGCATCAGCAAGTGCAAAGGCCCTGGGGCGGGGGCACATGCCCAGCGGGTTTAAAGAACAACAGGAAGGTCAGTGTTGTGAGAGAAAACCCCGAGCCCCTGAGCGCTGCAGGGCCTCCCAGAATCCTCAGTCAGAGGGACTTGTGCGGTGCCCATGGGCTCAGGAGGCCTCGGACCCCGGGCCATGAACAGAAGCATGCTCAGAAGCAGCTCCAGCTCAGGGAGCTCTTACGGTAATGAGATTTGTTCAATGGGATTTGCCCTGGAACATCACATCAAATTCACATCTGGGGTAGGTGTGAACGGGGGTGGGCTGCATCTGCTGGCTCTCTCCAGAGCCCCTGGAGGCCAGGAGATCAAAGGGTTTGCTTCCCCCTCCTCCAGCCCCCTCTGGGGCATGGCAGCTTCCGAGCACCCAGCTGAAGAGGGGGGAGCTGGGAGCAGTGACTCCTCACGGAAATAGACAACCATCGCCCCCATTCTGCAGATGGGGAGGGGGAGAGGTACACCCATGATGCCACAACCAGCAAGTGGCAGAGCCGGGATTTGAACCCGGGTCTCCCTGACCTCTAGACTGTGCCTTCCCGACAGCAGGCAGTGCAGGAGAGAATGGAGCTCAGCCCTCGGCAGCCCACGGCACAGCCCTGCAGGCCCAGGTGGCCATCTGGCCTCTGGCCGGCCCAGGGACTGCCCGGAGTCCCTCTTTGCCCACCGCCAGGGGCCCAGCCGAGGTCTGGAGCCTGCAAACTTTTGAACTTGAGGAAGTCCGGGTCTGATGCGGTAATCTACCCCCTCAAGAATGTCAGGGCCTCTCCCTGGTGGGTTTTACTTTTTCCCGGTGACCTTGCTTTCGCTAATGTATTACTTCTTGGTACGTTACCGTTACTAACTCAAAATCAATACCGACCTCCACATCTGTAAGGCTTTATCTGAAGGCAAATCTCCCGGCTGTCCGTCAGGCTGAGTGACAGCCGTCCCTTCCTTCCCCCCCACCGGTCAGGACCCCCCCCCCCCCCACCCGCCCCCAGCCCCTTCCTCTCCCTCTGCTCTAAATCAGTCCCAGCCTCCACCAGACTAAATCAATAAGGGGCCGGCCTCACCCCCCTTCCGCCACTGGCTTGCAGGTTTGGGGAGGTGGGGGCTGAGGGAGCCCAGTGCCAGCCCCCGCCCCTCCACATCCTCCGCTCGCCGCCCCTTCCCCTGGGACTTGCTGGCGCTCCCCTACTTTAAAAGAAGGGGATAGGAAAAATGTAATTAATTCCCTCCGTTCCTGAGCTGGCCCGGAGGGCCTGGGACCGAGGAGGCTGAGCTGTGAGATCTGCACCCTCTGTGATAACCGAACGCGGCTCTGGGAGCGAGGCTGCAATT